GGACTGTTTTTGCGATGTTATACATTTGCGACCAGGCATATTTTTACACTTTTGTGGTGTTTGTCTGTAATTTTCCCCTCTCTCATTTACTGTTCCCATACAAATTATATATTGTTTTTTTCAGGACAAAAGGGGCTTTCTTTACATACCATTATTTATATAATCTCATGTATTTTAAATTAAAAAAAAATAAAAAAATATGATGAAAAATTGAAAAAAATACATGTTTTTTGACTTTTTTACTTGAAAAATCTTTTACTCATCTACAAAAGCGAATGAAAAAAACTGCTAAATAGATTCAAAATTTTGTCCTGAGTTTAAAAATACCTAGTGTTTACGTGCTTTTTTGCTTTTTTTTTGCATGTTATAGGGCTATAGGTACAAGTAGAATATTGCGGTTTCAAAACATACATTTTTAAAATTTATCAATAATGACATTGTAACACTATTATCTGTCATAAATCTCTGAATAACACTCCACATGTACATATTTTTTTTTTTTTTTTTAAAGTAGACAACCCAGGGTATTCAATATGGGGTATGTCCAGTCTTTTTTAGTAGCCACTGGCCAAAGTAAGCATTCATATTTATTTGTGTGTGACAAAAGTAAAAAAACTAAATTGAACGCTAATTTTGGCCAGTGTTTGTGACCAAGTGGTTACTAAAAAAGACTGGACATACCCCATTTGCAATACCTTGGGTTGTCTTCTTTTGCAAATGGTATGCCATCATGGGGTAATTCTCATTCCTGGGCTACCATACGCTCTCAAAGGCAACGTAACCAACCTGGCCATTTTCAATGTAAAAATATTTGACCCATATATTTGACCTTGTAACTTTCAAAAATGCTATAAAACCTGTACATGGGGGGTACTGTTTTACTCAGGAGACATCGCTGAACACAAATATTAGTGTTTAAAAACTGGAAAACGTATCATAACAATTATATCATCAGTAAAAAGTGCTGTTTGTGTGTGAAAATGCAAAAAAAGTCACTTTCACTGACAATATCATCGCTGTGATATGTTTTACTGTTTTGAATCACTAATATTTGTGTTCAGCGAAGTCTCCTGAGTAAAACAGTACCCCCCATGTACAGGTTTTAGGGTGTCATAGAAAGTTACAGGGTAAAATATAGTGCTAGCAAATTAAATTCTCTGGACTTTTAGTCTGGGTTGGCAGGCAGGTCCCTCAAATTGCAATCAATAAAATTACTTAATTATGTAAATATTTACATAAATACGCATATAGAATTTAAATATATATGCATATTTATATATTTGAAGTCTACGTGTATATTTATATAATTATTTATGTAATTTTGTATATGGACATATGTATATTTCGTATTATTTTTATTTATATATACATAGATATACAATTTCATTCTAACTGTATTTTGATAGTTATATATATATATATATATATATATATATATATATATATATATCAAAATACAGTTAGAATAAAATTTCATATAGATATATAATTTTTTTAATTATTATTTTTACATGTTTTTATTTAATTTAAATTACTTATTTGTATTTTATAATATTTATATACAATATATATAGTTATATATTATATATAAGTGTGTAATTTAATTATAAGTGTATTTTTATATTAATATATGTGCATATTAATATAAAAATACACTTAGTATGACATTGTATATAGGATATATTAACATAAACTTTTTTTATTTTTTTTAATGATTTTACACTAGCAGGGAGACTGCCTGTCCGCACAGGCAGTCCCCCTGCAGGCAGACACATGGACACCAATTGTGACCATGTGATCGCTCTGTTGAGTGATCACATGGCCCCAGGGGTCCTAATCCGCCATGTGGAGACTGTCTGGGCTGCAGACAGTCTCCCCACAACGGGAGCAACACCGATCTCCGCCGGGGGAATGACGGCGATCGGGTAAGTACATTGCACCATTTTTTTTTTGTTTTTGTTTTTTATGCACCTCCCAAATTAAAGACTAACCTAGATATTATAACCATTTTGCATTAGTTTTACAGTTTGTGTTGCTTTTGAGCTGTTTAAAATGTTAAATGCAAATTATGTAGCATGTTTAACCCAATTATTGCAATAAAAGGTAATGATCTGAGGTGATATTAGGTTAGTCAATGTTTAAATAACAGAAAAATTCTGAAAGATTTTTTTTTTTGTTCATGGGAATTAGACTACTTTCAATATGGTAATTATGTTTCTTTACGCTTAATTAATTCTCATATCCACTGCATTTTTCAACTGCTTGCTAATTGTTGCTTGTTCAAGTATGTAATGCAGTATGTCCCAGTTAACTACTTCCAGCCTGAATTTGTCTTCTGACGATACTAGAAAATCACACAAGCTCCCTTTTGTTGAGTGGCATGTTATAATTTGCTAATTACAATTGCTGCAAATGTGGTTGTTAATGTTGCTATTCTTATTTTTCTTATTATTATTATAGCAAGGATCCTTTGAACTTAACCTTTATCAGCATTTGCAGATCACGAAGTACTCCTTTTTTTTTTTTTTTTAGACCAAATGTCAGTGACCGGTACTGTGGTCGTAGGGTGCAGAGGAGGAATGTTTTACTTACGATAAGCTGACACTTGTGGCCACTGCCATCTTCATGTTACTGTCCTCTTTGGCTCCTGACGAGCCAGGAGTATTTTGGAAATACTGAAAAGTGACAGACTCTTTAAAAGGTTACTCCATACATCTGTAAAATAAACCTTAACTTAAACCTGGAATCCAGTGTCTCTGGATTGGACCTGACTTAATGTATCAGATCATGCTGGAGGAAATATATTTTTAAACAAAACTCGAACCAAAAAATACAAGAAATATATAGGAAGGCAGGCAGGGATTAATTCCTTCATATTGTGACCATGTAAAGTGAAAATTCTATATATTCAGGGGAGATCCAAGCTTCCTCATGCTGTCAGCGTTACCTGCAAATGTAGAAGTTTGTCTGTCTGTCACCGGCAAGCAGTGTGTGCTGACGACATACATAATTTGTACACAAAATTAATTTTAAGGAGCCCAGAGCAGAGTTTTGGGGTGCCTTAGTCACAATTGCTGGGGATATAAGTAGCAACCGGCAAAAAAAATGAATATATCTTTCGATGCTGCACATACAAATTCCTTCCTCCGTGACTACTTCTAAAAGCATAAGTGGTAGTGGAGTTTGAACTATAACATGGAATAGGGAATCAAGAATGCTATATGTCGAAGGATTAGTTCAACAGTACTGTTGAACAGATTCAGTTCTGGCAGTTCCTACTTCCCAGGAGAGGCTTTAAAGGTTGCGTCTTCCTGGATTTTCCAACGTATTATTTGATGGACACTTCATGTGTCTCCTGCATGACATCATTTTAAAGTGAACATCAAGTCACTTCAGTCATTGAAGTTCAGGCATGCTGAGTTTTAGTTGTAAGTGGGGGGTAGAATAACACTAAATTCTAAGTTACAATAATAACCATTCCCTGTTTGGTGGCTAAAACATTTTGAGGTAAGAAACCTTGTCAGTTCTGCAAAGCTTTTTACTATACGTAGATATTGACATTACAGCATTGATCTATCAGTGCTTATGGGGCATTTACTACATTTTCAGGATTGAAAGGCTTCAACCTTGAGACCCAGTAAAGCAGTACAGTATATAATGACTCTGCATTCCAACTATTGAGTGAGAATATTTAAAGGACAACTGTAACCTCAAAGCTATTTTTTTAATGGAATAATCATTTTATCAAGTATTGATAGGAAATCAATTTTTTTTTTTAAACCATGTATATGTTTGGAAACTGACAATATGTGGGCTGATGATGACACTGCACTGTGTAAGGAGTGAAGCAGTGCAGACCACAGAAACCTGGCTGAGCCAAGGTACATGTATATGTCTGAAGGAGCCAGTTATATAATAAAGGTAAGGTTGACTTTTTTTTTCTTGTTTTAAACATATAACTTATTTATTT